AGAGACAGCATCATCATTGTTAACCGTTGTATTGCTAGATTCTTGTACAGCCGTGTAGTCTATTTGAGTATCTTGCTCAATATTCGCGAGAAAAGAGTTGTTGATGGTTATATCATAAAATTTATACATTGGTTGATTAACTAGATACCGTAAACAAGATTTAATTTCATTTTTCTTTACGAATCCTTGCAAATGACTCGACTTGTGGATTAATTTTTTTTTAATGTGTACGTTGATGCAAAAATCGTCATCCACATTTTTCGGCAAAACGCTCACCATATTATCCACCGAGACAGGAACATTGATGATCTGGTCTGTTATGCAGAACTGACCGTTGACATGTCTTATCCTCCGTATTTGCATGAATGGTAGTCTAGGCGAAATTAATCTTTCGGCGATGATATTGAGTTGAGGCAAATATGCTGTTTTTTTCGGATATTTGAAGCCATTGAAGGTCGATAGTGTTGGAATTTTCTCTTTTTGCATACTCCTTTTACATGTAGTACATAGTTTTGCATCAGCAATGTTCGTAAGAGCCTGGAATATATGTTAAGCATTACTTTTAAAGATTGATGAGAAAAACGATATTAAGGAAATTATGATAATATCCACATTATGCTTTAAACATACCGTTATTTTTTTAAGCATCGTTTCTTCAGTGGATGTCGCTTTTTTTAAATCCTTTTCGAACCAAAGCCGATCGCAAACGCTACAAGCATAGCCGATTTTCCACAAACATTTTTTGAAATTGTTTATGTGCAAATTTGTGATTCATATATCCACTATAGGGAGGCACAAAGTCATCATCAAATTCTATCGGTGGCCCATCGGAGTGTTCTTCAGTATCCATATCGGAATCAAGATCACTTTGTGATTCTCTGTTTGGGAGTTCACGGTTATCATGTACATCCTGCTAACAGAAAGTATAATTTACTAGAAAACTCATTTGAAATCAATTTTTTCATGTATAATGCAATTTTTTTCGAAATTGATACCTACAACATTGGCATTATTCGCATCATCATAATTTGGTTGTGTAGTTATTGCTCCTTGGACAGGAGCCTCTTGTATCTCATCAAAATTCTGGAAAAATGAATACATATCACATGTAAATTTTTTAATTTAATTCAATGTTAATTAATATATTGGAACAATGCAATCATGGCATATCAACTTACAATTTGGGAGGCATTTGTTTTTTTTGCAAATTTCTATTTTACTGCTGCCTTATTGAATTTTGGTGAATATTGTGCTGTATTGGTAGGGAATGTTGGTAATGAATTTGTGCTGCATGTTGGACGTATTCTGGACCATCATTCGGACTCGATAAATTCGAAGTACACGTAGAAGACGGAGAATGATTTTATGTTTTTTTGATGGAATTGGAGCAGGTGTTATAGCTTCAGCTGCAGCAGATCGCAGAAGTTTTTGACGCTCTCCGTATGCTTTACTACGTCCTGCAGCCGTTTTAGCCGTTTTGGAGGTTTGGGAGGCTTTGATTCATTTTTCCCCTGTCTGTACTGCCTGCTGGCCTCTGCCCACTTTCCCCCTCGACGCTTGTTTGCACACGCTTCGGTTGTAGGAACGACATCCCTACATCATATTTCACTGTTAGTATAATCTCGCCAATATGTTAAACAATCCTATTATCCTATTACAACAACAATACTATTTTGTGAGATATTTATCAACTCTTCTTGGTTATATTTACCATATGTTAATGTCATCACTGTGTGAATCAGACTCTCCTCTTCTTTGGTGATTTGCAGGGGATATTTCCTCTTGTGCCACGGATGTGTTTATCACTTCTGTCTCGTCACGACTTATTTTTGACACTAAAATTCTGTTCCAAATCGAATAAACCACAATCAGTTACGTATTTCACCCGTTGTATTACACTCACGGCGCAGTACACTAACCAAGCAGCTGATGCTTGGCGTGGCGTCGTTGGCTAGGGTCTGAGAGAGAGAGGAAAAGAGAGAAGAGAGAGAGAGAACGTTCGTCAGTGGCTCCCTCACCTCAGTAAGCGGGTACGGTGAGAGAGCGACAGTGAACGGTGAGCGGTGGTAGGGGTCCCCAGGGGTCTGGTTACCTCCACCTCGCTATGGCGTTTTTTCGTGACGGTCTTGAGTCGGTTTTACTCCGGTCGTCGAAAATCCACGACGCGCGTAAAGAAGTTTCACTTCAAAAAGATATAAAAGTGACAAGACACGTCCGTGAACTAAAACAAAGATAACAAAATAACGGGATCCAAAGCGACGATCGAACACGAAAGTGGTTGAGAGGGAGAAGAGAACAAATACGCAACAATATAAAGATCTAAAAAAAGGGTCAAAACGGGATCGAAGAAAGATCACAACACTAAGTATGACAATTAAGGGTCACGAGGGTCAGATTTACCGTCATTTTTGTCTTTTATTTCTGATCCTTATTTCTCACTCTCACGCTCGTGGCTCGTATTTAATTCTTACCCTCATGACCCCTATTTAATTCTGACCTTTTAACTTCATTTCTTCATTATTACCTTTGAAGATTTTCCCCTAGGACTGACCCTTATTACTAACCCTTATTGCTGAACCCCATTTTTGACTCTCATTTCGGATCCTGACATCTGACCCTTGAGACCCCCTAGTGTTGACCCCCAGTTTTGTGATCTTTAGCTCTGACTTTCATTTCCAAGTCTCATACTTCGGACTCTAGTTTCTTTTCCTCACATCTGACCCTCATTTTTTTCTGTCACACTCGACCCTCGTGACCCTTAGCTTTCATGCTTGTTTCTGACCTTTATTCTTGAACCATATTTCTGCTCTTAATTCTGACCCTCATGCCCAAACCTCGTGACCTTTCGTTTTGATTTGTATTTTAGACAATTATGCCTGACCCTTGTGACCCTCAGTTTTGACCATTGTGGAATTTGTTAAATTTATCATTATTGTGATTGTTTTTGTTACTACTATTATTATCAGCTGTGTAATCAAAATCGTTAATTCTTTACCTTTGGCAACTAAAACATTATTGGGAAGAATAATACCGATAAAATTCATAAAAATTAATGATCATCAATAATCAATAGTCGAATAGTCACTATCATCAACAAATATTACTCAATCAATTAATATCATAATTTTAGATTGATTCATAATTCATATGAACGACACGAACTTTTCATTTCCAGAAGCGTGCGTTAGTCTAGTGCTTAGGTCGCAGGATTAGCATGCGTACGGTCGTAGATTCGAGCCCATTATACGTAGAATATTCTAAGTTATCAAAATCGAATTTTTCGACGATACCTGCCTTGTGGATCGTTAATTAACGAACAATAATTAATATTAACGTGTGTCACCTGTTTTTTCGCTTATGTTTACTAATCATCATGTATGATTGGGCCCACTGCGCTCCATCGATTTTATTCCCTCATTTGATTTAGATATTTGCTCTTAGTAACTTTTTGAGAATTTTAACCGATATGGGAGAAAATGACCAGTTCGATCTAAGATTATCTTTATTGTTTCATAATTGATTGTCGATTTATTTATTCATTTATATTTAGCTCCTACTGGTACGATATACCGGTTCGATGTGCATATGGGACCAGAAGTGTGTACAGCTGGAGTGAAAATGGAAACGTTACGAAAGCAGCACAGAAACCGTACAGCGTACCAGTACAGTGGTACTTGTAAAGCACAGCCACCGCACGTACGTATGGAACCACGAACTCTATTCTCGAATCGGTGAGTGGCTGAGCGGATACGTTCGACTCGTATACGCAACATGGGTCAAACGCAATGGTCGCATCGGTAAAAAAAATCGAAAAGCAATTGAATGATTGCCTCGTGGGTTCCCTACTTTGGTAATGCGTTTATGGCGATATCGCCATTACGTATGATCCGTGAACTTGAGATAATTGATGCGGGAAACAACCCTTTATGCCCGATGATCTGCCTTGAAAAATTAACTTTTTAAGCAGATAATACGAAAATTAATGTTTGTTGTTACTTCATTCTGTCTGAGCCCCTCTTCCCTCCACTGTTTCGGGGTATCGGAAACGAAAAATTCATGTCCCTCTGAACCTGACCAAATATCTGTGATTTAGGGAAAAATTTCGGAAGTGATGTACTTTGTACACTGAGAAAAAAAATCACTTTTACCAAGGAATCATTTTCTTGGGAGAAGAATTTATTTTTTGCGGGGCGTATTTCTCCAGGCCAGTCATTGTCAAGGAGTCCAAGTCCATCTCTAAATATTACAATTATGTTCAATTATGGAATGATTATATTACATATGACCCGGAATGAACTCCATTGACAATTATTAACCTTTAAAATTATTTCAAATTATTATACGTTAGGAAACCTCGAATTTGAAAAAATTGAAAAATAATGAAGCGTGTTCATTCAAGGTCATATGTAGCATAATCATCTCATTATTCAAAATAATTGTAATATTTAGAGATGGACATGGACCACCGGGTAATGACTGGCCTAGAGAAATAAGCTCCTAAAAAAATAAATTCTTCTCCCAAGAAAATGATTCCTTGGCAAAAGTAATTTGATTTCCCAGTGTAGCTGACAAAATTTGTAAGAAATCATGACTTCGATACTAACATTGATGGCTTCAGTAATGTTAATAACTTGCTGAATTCAAAATGATTCTTTCCTAAATCACTATTTTAGGAATAAATTTTGATTTTTTAATGATGAAAATTTAAAAAGATCTTTTTTGTCACTCGGTTTGTGAAGCCTCGTTTCACGTAGACTGCGGCTGCCAAAAAGCCGCTCACGAACGTCAGAAAAAAAAATATGTTTCGTCTCTGTGTCGAAACCATTTTTTTTGGCGAACATCTAGCTACTACGTATTTGACAGAAAAATTTCCTTTGCCACAATGACGAAAATACTATTTCGTAATCCAAAATTTTTTTACGAATAAAGTAATCTCATAATTTTCCCTTAACCTCTTCTTACTTTTAATTGAAACAAAATAATGATTAATGTATTCTTACGTTTTCAGCAGCATTAAAATCCTTAATATTATTAATATAAATATCGCCTAATAGTATCAGTCCTTTGATGTGATCTGGATGGAATCTAACGAGTTGATTCAAGAATGGAGCAGCCTCCAACGGTCTCTGCGCATCAGCGAGTAAAAGGGCCAGATTGAACAGTGCAGATCTGAAATCCTCCTTCAACGCAACAGCATTCCTGAACCACCTCTCAGCACTCGCAGTATCATGGTCGTCCATAGCCAACATTCCCAGGTTGAAATGCAAACGTTCATTATTAGAGTCCTATTTTTCATCAGACGTTCAAATTCATTAAATCATGCATGGAGTAAATTTTAGTAGAGATTAAATTACTCTTCTCTTACCTTTCTGAGTAGCTTCAGGAGTCTCTCTCTTGCCACTTTGCGAAGCTCTTCACGTCCCAGTTCTTGTAAAAGTATGGCGGAATTTAATAATGCCTGCTCATGCTCAGGATCAAACTCAAGTGCTTTGTCGAGATATGCAAGTGCTTGTGACGCTTTTCCCTGCTCCAAGTAAACGACCCCCAACTGGAATACAAAACAACTATAAAAATGTGTTTCATGTTTTGTCAAAATGGAAATTGCGTCGGGTGTATAGCCGAGTGGGTAAGGTGTCTGCATACGCAGCCACAGGTTGCGGATTCAATTGCGGACACCATTGAAATAGTCCTGGACTATTTAATTCATTCAAATAGTCTAAGAATACCACTAAAAAATGTGCGAAACAAAGACGTTGAAGACCGAGAGACTAGTAGATTTCAGTATTAGATTAACAAAGTATTTCGTGATGAATATGAATTGACAACCCAGACAACTGACGAGAGCTGTCTGGTGAGAACCTTTTTATGTTGTGAGCCCGAAAATCACGATCTGGCCGAGCGAAGCGAGGCTAGAATCGCAGTTTATTGGGTCTAGCAACTTCAGTAGAATTGAACATGTTCGAATCGTGTACACACATTCTACGAAATGGACGAAAAGTACCCGCGTTTGACGATATATGACGTTACTGGGACAAGTCCGTAATACCATCATATACTTACATAGTTGAAACGACATCACACAAAATTTGAGGCTGATTGCTAGATTACTTTTGTTTTGGAAGTCACTGTTTTCCGAAACAATGGAAAAAGAGCAATATCGATGTGTGAATCGCTTCCGATTTTTGGATGGGAAAACGTGCAAAGAAATAAACGCAAAGTTAGGTCCTGTCTACCGGGACTCTTCACCATCTATGACAACAGTCAGATATTGGTTCAACGAATTCAAACGTGGCCGTACCTCTGTTTTTTATGAGGAGCGCCCTGACCGCCGGCAGATGTATTTACTGAAGAAATCGTTGAAAAGGTCCACGACATTATTCTCGTCGATCGCCGTACGAAAGTGTGTGAAGTAGCCGAGGTCGTACGGATGTCGTACGGAACGGCAATTAATGTTTTATACGATAAATTAGGGGTGAAAAATTGTCAGCCCGATGGGTGCCGCGCTTGCTCATGATGGACAACACGCCAATACGGATTTCAGGTTCAAAGCAGTATTTGGACCTCTTCAAGCGATATCCGCGGGAGTTTTTGCGTCGACCCGTCACCGCTGAGGAAACGTGGATTCATTACTATACGCCCGAGATTAAATAACAGTCAAAACAGTCGACTTTCCTATGCGAATCTGCTCTGAAGAAGGAGAAAATGGCCCCATTGGCTGAAAAGGTCATAGCATCGATTTTTGGGATGCGAACGGGATAATCCTCATTGAGATTTTGGAGGAAGGAAGCACGCACACGGGGTAATACTACAGTGTACTATTGGATAGATTTGATGCAAAATTGAAGGAGACGCGGCTCAATTTGGGGAAGAAAAAACCGCTTTTTCACCATGCTAACGCGCTAGCTCACTCAGCTGGAATTACCGCGACCAAATTGCATGAGTTACGCTACGAATTGCTGCCGCACTCACTGTACTCACCCCACCTAGCTCCTTGTGACTTTTTCCTGTTTCCCAACCTGAAGAAATGACTTGCGGGAAGAAGATTCAGCTCGAACAATGAGGCTATCATCGAGAGAACAGCCAATTTTTTAAATTTAGGCGAATCATATTTTGGAGGGGTTAAAGAAATGGCAGGAACGTTGGGAAAAGTGTATTGCACTAAAAGGGGTGTTCAAAATCTGGGTATCCGGTTAATTCATCCCACAAATTCATCCCATGACAATTCATCCCAAACAATTTCATCCCAAAACAAATTCATCCCACGGCAGTTTCATCCCATTTTTTTATTACTACTTTTTGGATGAAGAATACGCTTGGCTGAGGCGCATGACGTATCGGATTAATTTCCAAGTTTTGTACTGATTTTGTAAATTGATGCTGTGGTCTATTACGTGTGGCATATCTGGCGAATGTTAGTTGGATAACTAACATTGATGGATAACAATGATTTGACCGTTTTTTTGCAACGTTTCCTATTAATCCGTTGATCGATTGTGTGAACAATACTAGGAGGGAATCGTGAAGTATCTGATTGATTTTGATGATGTGTTTAGTGCCTTCTTCTGTGATAATAAAGTTAATATTTTTCTCTCCCTGAATTATTCATCAAAATCACACAAGATTTTTAACATTGATCCTTCGAGTCGGATAGTGGAGTGATAGTGCAGTGGACAATTATCGTGGACAAAGTGCAGTGGAAAATCATCGCGGGTGAAAAACCGACACGGTGAGGAGCGAGGCTTTTCGGGGTTCACAAAACTATATCAAGGGAAACCACGTAGAGGTTGGACAATCAACGGATTTACAGAGGCAATAAATTCCATTGCCTTTGTTTACATCGCCAACCGAGGACACTCAACACGAAGAACATCAGGACGTCAAAGCCGGAGTCCCATCTGGTGGCACTTCGTCAATGGTCGTCGCACATCGACATTCATCGGATTTGTCCATCCCCACCCATCCGCAGCCGTAAAGTGAGCGCTGCGCCTTCACCTCAACGATGCAGTCGGGAACTCATCGGCGGGCTCGACACTCCAGTCGATAAATTATCGGCGGATACATCTACGGTCGATAAGAAAGGAAATTCATCATGGCAAGGAGCGAAGCGGGACCAATATCATCTTGGGCAGACGGAATCGAGACAGAGGGGCCCGAGACAATCATCAAGAGCTTAAAGGACGAAATGGCACACATGGCCAGCATCTCGGTAGCGCCCAACCGAGAGAGGAGATTCCAGGAACACCACAGGAGAGATCAAGTATCATTTTATTATTCTACAATCAAATCTTGGCAATTGATACGGCCTCATTCTCTGTATTTCTCCCCTCAGCATCATCATCATCAGGGAAATCTTCATCGGGTTGAACGTCGACTAAGAGAATTTGCGACTCTCTCAGACCTCAGAGAATACCAACCTGACAGGTAACAACCGGACCATCATCAAGGAACAGACATTAATTAACCAGGAACCTGTCAACAAGTCATCCGGTCCATCATCGTACCAAGACCAACGACCTCGCACAATCAGATTCTAGATACTGGATAATCAGAAAAGTACCAGGTGGGACATCAACCTCATATAAAACCCACGTAAGTTGGAGATCATCGTCAATCAGAGGAGTACCAGGTCAATCATCAATCAGAACCGTGCCAGATGAATCCGGTGGACACCATCAACGTTTTGGAAGTTCAACGACCTCGTCAGAATGCAACTCAACTGGTGATCTTGCCGACGGCGAGGGTGTTCGCCCTCATTCGTCATGGAAAGTCAAGGCCAACAGGGATCCTTATCGACTAGGTCTCAGAGATAACACTAGTCTCTGAGCGCTTGGTCAATCAATTTCATCTGGAGTGGAGGTCATCATCAATTTTCATCGTCGGCATCGGAGAAACCTCATCGGGGAGTACGCGTGGTGTAGTCGTTCTCGCCTTACAACCGAGGTACGAATCCGTTGTTCAAATCAACATTAACGCCCACATCTTGAGCAAACTGACTGCGAACATACCGCCATTCACTTGCGAATCAACGATTCCTCATCAACTACGAGAACTTCAACTGGCAGATCCTCACTTTTTAAAACCTGGGGCCATCGATATCACCGTCGGAGCTGACGTCTACGGGAGAACCATCGGAGAGAGAATCATCAGGTTCACTGAGATGAATCTGATAGCCCAGCAAACCATTTTCGACTGAACTATTCCGGGGCCAGTCTGCGGCACTGGCTATGCTCCGAATTCATCATTGAAAGTAACGAAACAGCAAACCAACAACTCTTGGAATTCCTGAAGAAATTTTGGACTCAGGAGGAGCTACCGGATACATCATCAACATCAGTCTTGACGAAGGCTGGAGCGGAGTATTAGGGATAATCCCTGGGTTCTGCTAATTGGAGATAAATCTCCCTACAGTGGGTAGATACTGGAATCCGGTATATTACTCAGTAGAATGAGAGTATTTATTTATTCAAACTAACTCATAGTTATCCTGAAGGGATAAATATGAGGAATTTACAAAGATGATACAAAACAAGTATTATGCTTGATTTACGTTGACGACTGAACTCCCGAATCCTCGTGAGTTCAGTTTATATAATAATTAAGCCGGTCATATTATGACACTGGTCAGCAGTGTTGCACATGAACGCTGAATTAGTAAAATAATGAATGAAGCAAGTTGAACTCAATTCATTGTTCAACTTCTTCACTGTTGTAAATAAATTATTACTTAATTTATTGACCCTATTCTGGGGCATAACATTCCTCCCCGCTAGGGAAGAAAATTTCTATCATTGGAAATTTTCTTATCTGACATAATTTTCCTTACAATATTTTCAGATTTTGCAAAATTATTAAATTCATTATTATCAGTATACTTCTCTCTGAATCCTCGAGACATTCTAAAATATTCAACTACATTATTTCCTTTAAAACTAATCATTCATTGAATGTCCCTAAAGTCTAAAGTACATCTTCAAGAAAGTTATGCTTTTCTCCAAATTTCCTAATAATGTGAAAATTTGAATCTTTAAATTAGAAATTAAATTCTGAAATGGAACTTCTCTGAGAAAATCACATTTCTTAAAATCTGATCGAACTTTGAAAAATCTTCTGATAATATTTTCAATTATTAACTCTTCCGATAAAATTCTGCACAATTCGTGATTTTCAGAAAAAAACCGAGTTCGTCTTCTAAAAATTATTTTCACATGTGTTTTGTAAATAATAATATTGCGCGTTTTTCTGGAGATGGCTGGAATGCGCACGTTATCTGCTCGGTTCTCTTGTGGCGATTCATTCTGCTGATTCAGCAGGTTGAACGCCCCGTCAAATTTCTTATGACGAATTCTACTGGCGTATTTTGTAAACACATCAAGTGAAAATTCATCCGTTAAGTGTTCCTTGTAGTAAGAAAATTCTTCCTCTCGTTTCCTGTCGTTCAACTCCAGACGGTTTTTCGCAACGCTCTTATGAGTGTTTCTATGCATGACAATTCGTGGACCATCCCGGGGACCATTCCCTGGCCCATTCTCCTCCTCCCTTTTTGAGAAGATCATGTTACCTAGCATGATAGTTCTCGAATTGGAACAGAAAATTTTTCGGAATTCTATACCTTAAAGTGAAATGATCAACTTCTTTACGAGTTGGGTTGAAACTAATAATTGTCGTCACACCGCCACTTACGTTCGGTGTATGCTGTCGAACGTTGTGGTGCAAACCGAAGGCTTGAACTGGAGATTTGGGGCCTCCTTTGCCTCGGTCCGCCATCTTACCCTGCCCCATGTGTATGGGCGAAGGTTCCATCGGATGGTGTCCAAGGGGATCTCGTTAGTGTGGACTGCATCCGTACGTCGGGCATGCAGAAGATGCTTTTATTCTCGATTTTTTGGTGAGCTCGATTTCCGTTATTTGTTTCTTTTTCAAGTCAGAGCTATTGCTTGGGTCATGAAATGGGCTCATGAATAGCTGAAAAAACCATTTTCTTCTATCGCGGTTCAGTTCTTTCTGATTTTCTTGATTGTCTGCTCCTAGGCTCGACGTTTCCCTTATCAGCCTGGGTACACAAACCTTGGGTACAAGACCCAAGTCCAGAAATGGCGTCGAAATGCTCAACACCGGAACGCCAGGCTGTGGGACAGAAACGTTTCCGGAGACGAAATTGGGGATATCTTCGAGGTCTGTTTGGTCTCAAGGCTTCGCCCCAGCCATGTCACGTGCCGATGTTCGTGCCGTCGTACGACATGAAGGCCGAGGATTTCGATGAGAGCGAAAACTGTCTTCCGTGTGGCAGGAAAACTTGGGCCACTCTGGGATTTTTCTTCATCGATCATGGCTAGCATTTTTACTATGGTTCCCGGAAACTGGGTCCCCTCGTAGACGAGTGTATCTATCCCGTTTTACTAGTGCGTTCGTTTGTAACACATCAAAGTTTATTTTTATTTGTAAAAATAAACTGTGTACACTAGCTTGAGTGTTTTTTGTTAACGACCTTATCTTCCCTAACTTGTTTTCCTACTCTGCTCATTCCCTTATCCTTAGAATAAGGGTATTTCAGGGCTAAGTCCCCGTGGGTATACTCCATGGAGCAGGAGTTCATAAGTTTGAAGTTGGTCATTTCGTAGGTCTGAATTTCTAACTCCGATTATTTTAATTGTCAATTCCCTTCCGTCCCATTCGTCGTCGATATGCGATCCGTCAACGTGAACGTCGAGGAATGCGTGCGTCAGCATCCTTGGCTTGGCGTGTCGTCTAACGTCCGCTCGCTGCTTGGTGCTCGACTGCCGTTGCAATTCAATGCCCGCTTCACCTACTTCTTTTCTTCGAGATATTATTCCAAATAATATTTCTGCTATCATGCCACCTGCTACATCTTCCGTTTTCATTGTTTCCTGATACCACTCAACGATTTTACCCCATGTTTTGCTGATTTCCAAGGGTTCCTGAGGGTTCCTCACCCCCGAATTTTATTTCACAGCTTCCGTAGCGATGACTGGTATCAATAGTTTACCTAGTTTAGTGGCAGTTATTGGTATTCGTCTCTCCTTATTCAGGATTATGATGAATAGTGGCTCGTTTAGTCCCTTCTGTCCCTTTTCCTTACTTACCGAAATGTCCCTTTTGGCAATTTGGGTTTTATCATGAGGGCGCTGCTGTAATTTTTTGATACAGGTACTAGAAAACCTCTTTTGTGTTTTGTGTTGCCCTTCTCTGGATGTTGTGAACCGTGCCCTTGCTAGATATTCGTCTTCTTGATGGCGGTTCAGTGAAGATGGAGTGCTTGGACACTCAGTCAGATCTTTCTGACTCTTCAANATATTCGTCTTCTTGATGGCGGTTCAGTGAAGATGGAGTGCTTGGACACTCAGTCAGATCCTTCTGACTCTTCAATTGGTTCTTTCTAATGAAGTCCTGCTGGTTGCCTTCTGGAGATTCTCCCTTCCCGCCGTGTCGTTTCTGCATCGTGCCAAAGTAATGAGACCCTTTAACTATCTCCAATAGCCATTCGATACTGGTACGATGGCATGATTTGTTGACATCTTGAACAGGAACTTGACTCCCAGCATCTGATAAAGTTTGGTTCCGCATCTACAGCATCTCTGATCCATGATCTTCAGGTAATATGGCCATTTTTGTCAGTCGTATTGAAGTGATCTCTGATGCATTTTCATCACCCTTTCGGGTGAGAAAATGCTCCAATAATTCGTGCTTCGGCGGATAGCTCCAAGCTGGCCTAGACACAGCATCTCAATGTGTTGATTGATGCTCACTAAGGCCCACACCTCTTGGATGAGATGTCATCATTTTCGACTGTGATGATTCGACTCTGTTGCATTGCCGCGAATCGAGAACTTCCCTTTCCCCCGTGACATCTGCTTGGTCACATCTATTTGGTCAAGTACCACGAGTAGAATCGGATTCCGTTGACTGTATGAATTGAGCCGATAATCAATCTCAGTTTCCATGATATTTGTTCGTAAACGGTGTGAGCGTCGTCTTGTGTCTTCCTGGTCCAGAGCTCGTATCCTTCGATGAATTCTGTAATCACTCTCCGATTTTGCCCAGGATCCAAAAGTCGGTTTGTTCTTATTTTCATTATCCTTGTCCAACGTTTGGTTACGACGTGACAAAAACATTTCCTCATTTGCAATGTTCAACGAAATATTGAGGATGGTCAGAAATCTGACGTCGATCAGTGGAATGACCTCTCGAGTATCCGTCTTTGGTTGCACACCTCCGACGGTTTCCACATTTTGCTGAGTCTGCAATTTGATGTCGTAGCGATTTTTTATGTGTAAGTGCATTACACTTGTACCATTTCTGATGAATACCAACTCGTATTCATACTGCCCTAATACTTGTCGGATTCTCATGGCACTTAATCCTTGAATTTCCGCTTCCCTGATCCCTTCCAAAGGTGGCAGACAAATTAGAATGTCAACCGATCTGGTGCTGACGTTTTATGAATTTTCCCCTGTAGAAATTCCTTTCAACACTTAATTGATTGACATCCCATTGTGTCAGGAACTTCTCCATACTCTTTCTGGCCCTTGAAGAACCCTCTTGGCCCTTCCCAATAGGCATCCTTCGAGGACTCCCTTGATTTTTCCTATTAGCCTCCATTGAGTAGTGAAGAGAAAATATTTTTACCCCATGAGAAATAGTAGCCACGATGACTAGACCTCCTCGTACAGGATTCTCTCGGCCCTTTAGCTCAGCTAATAATGCGGCCCTTCCTTCCCAGGCTTTACATGGATTCTCTTTTCCCTCTCTTTGTAAAGAACTCCTCTCAATTTGAAGGAGATTCCAAGAATCCATATGTGCCGGGTCTGATGGGTTGCTCTGATTACTCGGTGACAATTCGGGAAAATTTTCATCCCCCATCATGCTCACCCAGATGCCTTCAGCCCTTCTCTGAGATGTCCAATGTTTCAGGGAACTCCCAGTAGAATGCTCAGAATAAGTCACTCCAGCGGCGATGATAATATTCTCCGACCCGAGTCTGATCATTGATCGCACAGCAATAATTCCATAGAGATGAGTCTCAGCTCCGCCTTCTCTAGGAATTTCCTTCAAGAGTTTTCCCGTTGAGTGATGTTGTGAACTTTTCCCCCATAAAGAATTATCAATTTCATGACTCTTAGAGGAAAGGTTACTATAACCCTTACTAGGCCCTAGTTCAAGACCCAGGCCTTTATTCATGTGAAGCGCTACACATGTAGAAAATTGTCCAACACGTCCTCCATTGTCCTCAAGATTCGTTATTAGCAGTCGACCTGCATGTGCCGCCATCTTGGGATCGACGATTCGTTGAAAAACCCCGTACATCTCATCTAACGTGAGAGTATGTACATTCTCAGTCTCTCTATTTAATGAAGTCTGATGAAACCAAGTATCAGCTTCCATAACCGAGAAATTTCACCTCCTCCCGTTAGAACCGATGATTCCGGAAAAATTCTTCAATGAGAATGAGTCTCCGATGATCTCCTCATTTCTCGTTCGCTTCCGCAAGTCAAAGATAATCTTTGACTTGAGTCTTCTTGCGTTTTCCTTGTCAATAAAGAAGAAAACTGTCCCCGAACGCTTAGTCAATTTTTCCAGTTTTTTACTAAGCGGTAGATTCACTTGCTTCCGATATTTGGATGCTGCTACCATTTTTCCGTCATTATTATGGCTGTCGCTGTTGTTGACATGACTCATGTTTTCCGCTGCCATCTGGCAACGATGTCCCAAGCCATGTAAACCATTGGAAATACGGTTTTTCCCCAATACCGATAATTCCCTTCTCAGCATCTCTCCTCCCCGCCAAGGAAGAAAAATCCGTGTTTCCGATGAGTTATCTCGGTGCGTGAATTTCCGTTGACTCATTTGGAGAGTGTCTGCCTGTTCATTTCTTTTAAAAATCGATGTCTCCGCATGTGGTTGTCTAATATTACTCCCCATGTAACCAGGCTGATTGCCATTACCAATGGCCCCCATATCAGAAAAAGTAGCTCGTTTAAGGTTTTCCCTCACCACTTCTGGGGTTTGGGCTGGTTGATTGACCCGGAGCACTGCATCATTAATTGACCTAGTCAAGAATCGTGTTTTGTCAATCTCCTTCAATTTGAAAAATCGGAGTTCAGAGCCGTTTATCGATAAGGCCCTCCCTGGTATGATTCTCACGCCCAGGTGTATCGATTCTAGGAAATCTTCTCCTAGGATCCCTCCCGAGCAAGGAAAGTGGTTGGGGACTATGAAAAATGTGTCCCAACTCCTGCCCGAATTGGAGCTAAATAACAAGTTTACCAAGTGTCGAAACTTCCTGGTCAGCGATTTCCCGCAGAATATTGGTATCCTCCATTAACGGGAAACCCTTGCGTATTTTCCCGATTTTTATTCGTGAAACAGCCGCTCCTGAATCTATCAGGAAAGCTGTCCGCTTTCTAAGTTTCCCGGCCTCCAAGACAATATGATTTTTTAATTTATTATATTGTACTGGCCTTATTGTTCACCCTGCATTCTGCGTGTGCTTTAATTGTCTCAGGATGTCGCTCGAATCACGTTCAATCTCGTACGTCATCACCTGATGTACCTCTCTAGAATTAAGATTCAGTGTGTTTAACCTCCTGGTTTTTCCGTTTTTATTGTTATTCTTTCGTTTGGTGTAAACGTTGCTCTTGACTTCGGTCTTACTTCCATTGAGAATGGCCTCAATTTCTGCTGAGTCTGAAATTCCAAGTCGTTTCTTCAGTTTGCAGCAAACATATGCATTATGACCTTCATATTTG